TTTCTGATAATTCTCCAAAGGAACTGTGATGACTTTCTACGGAAAAATTTACAATATTTTTAAGGCTGAATTTAAAAAAACTTTTAAGGTATACTGCTATATTTACATCACAGCTTTCATGTGAAAAACGAAATGACAAAGGTTTGTTGAAATTTTAATATTAAAACTTTAACCACAAAATGGTTTTTATAGTTATAGTATATTTCAATCCCGAATATTTTGGAACATTACCAAAATGGTATGGTCTGCGGTAAGTTGAATATTTTATATAAAAAGTGTTAAACTACTACTTAATAAATTTTGTAATATATATAGATAAATCCTTAATAACAGAAAAAAGATATTTAAATCGAATGTGAGTATTCAATAATTTGATGCATTAATTTACCACTCTGATCAGATAATCCTTGTATCTTGTTTTTTTTCTCTTCTAATTGACACTGTAGTTTTTAAATCGTTAGCCTGGTCTTACAAAAGACAATTGTTAATCACAAAAGCAATATTTACTAGAAGACGTATACAATATTTGTACATTCGTATAAAGCAGAGCTCATCTCTGTTCAAAGAAAAACATATTGATAAAAAAATATTTGGGGCTAATTCACTGACGGCAGTTTGATATATCAACAGATTGTTGATATACCGATGCGCACTAGTTGTGCACCTTTACTTGGTGATTTGTGTTTTTTTCAGGCGTTTGAATCAGTATTCATATAGAACCTTCTCCAAAAAGAGAAAGAAAAAAAACTATGTTTGCGTCTCAAATATAATAGTGAACATGAGATACAGGATACGACCGAACTAGAATATCTGCTTCAATCTAAATAGGTACTTTCATATTGACGACTTCAAACTAGAATCTATGACAAACATGGAGATTTCTGCACTCCAATTGTCACCTTCCAAATTCTCAGCTATAACATACCCTCTTCCCCAACCGTATGTCGTTTTAATAGCCCAATACAACATTACACCCTTGCATATTCTCCCATTACACGGACTCCATACATATGGGCGTTCTTCAGAAAAATAACTGCTCCAACAGAGATATGACATATATGCGGAAGAACAAAATCGTAAGAATATACATTTTATGGTCACCATCAGAAATTAGTTGACCGATACGATGTGTCTCTGTCTTAACTCATTGACGACAAATTTTCCCGGTCTTTAATTTGTATATATAGGAAAAAGTCTTTTGATCTAAAAATTGTACTGAAGGTGACTTATTGTGAATTCGCTTTGCAGGTGATTCATGTATAAGAGAAGACTATCAATCTGTCAACGCACACAGTCTGCGATTCCTTCAGTTATTGTTTTTACTTCGAATTGTATTTTAAATGGATTGATAAGATTTGAACATCGGTAATTTACTGCTGCGATGAGTTAATAACTCATCAAATCAATCCCACTGAATGCAAAATTCAAAATATCACAGGCACGTCCTCCTGATACATAACTATATAATTACCAATAATTTTTGTGTGTAGTGTTTTGTTTGTCTTTTGTCTTGTCTTTTTTCATTAAAACGCATTAATAATCAATACAAACAGGAAGGTCCGGCAAAATGGGGTCGACTTGGGTGAAGGGCGGGAAATGGATCTGTTTTTTTTCAACAGTCAGGATCTGACGTCCTCTGTACCTTGTCAATTGCTCTCCTTGCCTAGCACGTGGTTTGAGATAAACAGATGTAACTGATGTATGTAAAACAAGTGTTCTTCCTTTAATAATCACATCTGATTTTACTAAACCATATTAACTTAATTGTTTTAACGTTCATTTGTATAAAAGAATAAAAGACGTGTCCACCATGTTCTACATAAGGAAATGTATGGCAAGCCGTTCATGTCAAAACTATGTTTAAACCATGTTAAGTCTTGAAATTTATTACGATTGTTGGTTGAAGGAACCGCATTTCATTATAATGACGAGAGTTCGGGAGACCAAGATATTATTCTGATGAACTATTAATCTCATAAATATTCATTAGTAATGTGCATATACATCTAAGTGTGTATTTTTGAAATCTCAGTGTGTAATTAACATCTCTCAGTGTTTCTTTTTAAAATCTCAGAGTGTAATTTTAAATTCTAAGTGTGTGTTTTTCATTTTCTAAATCTCAGTGTGTTATTTCAGGTTTTTAAATCTCAGTGTGGTTTTCTTAATTCTCAGTGTGTATTTTTTTTCGAAAAAAGGGTTTAAACATAGTTTTGACGAGAACGGCTTGCCAAAGAAATGACTGCACCAAGTCAGAGATATGACAGTTGTTTTCCATTCGTTTGATGTGTTTGAACTTTTGATTTTGCCAGTTGATAAGGGACTTTCAGTTTTGATTTTTCCTTGAAGTTCGGTAATTTTGTTATTTTACTCTATACCACAATTAAAATATTTTTGGTAATATAGTTCAAAACAATGCACAGCTTTGGACGCACACAATTTATTAAGTGTGTTTTTCATTTAGTTTATAAATGCAATGGTTGAGAGTACTAATCCATATACCATGATATCAGAAAATATTTGTATACCTCTTTTAAATGGTATTAATGCTTATACAAAATTATGCACAAGGGTTGAGCACCTTACGAGAATGAATTGTCGCAGTCAACAATGCTACATGGTTTGGTACGCTCAAGCGAATCATTTAAAATTGTGTTTGCATTGGCATTATACAGGTCTTTAAACTGAATGAATTTTCAAGAGAGTTGCTGATAAAAAGGAAGCTTCTGAACAAAAAGTTCCAAGCAGTGAAGTTGAAATCATCCCTCGGAAATTTTACGGACGCCATCACGAGTTGGTTGACCGTTATGGAATATCCTCAAATAAAACCTTCCGAATCAGACTTATTACCGGGTTTTTACTTACATGAGCAACACGACATGTGCCACAAGTGGAGCAGGATCTGTCTACCCTTTCAGAGCACCTGAGGTCATTTGGAGGAGTTCGTGTTGCTCGGTCTTCTGTTTTCTATGTTGTGTTTTGTGTACTGTTATTTGTCTTTTTGCCGTTTTTCGTTTTTTTTGCCACTGCATTGTCAGTTGTTTTTCCAACTTACGAGTTTGTCTGACCTTTGTATATTTTGTTTCTCCTTAAAGAAATTAAATGTCTTCTTTTCTTTTTTGTTAGATTTTGTACAAAATGGAATGGGTTGCTTTAATTCTATGCAATCATTAGTTTTTTACTCTACATGATGTTATTTAGTATTTATGAAATATTTTGACCATTCTTCGGTATCAACAACACCACAACCTTGTTAACAACAACCATGTAATATAGATTACTGCCTTCCACTATAGATCAAAACAACGAATGAGGAATGCTGAAAGATATACTTTCCCTTCCGGAATATTTATTCATTCCGTTGGTTGATCTAATCAAACATTTGGTTTTGTTAGGTTTTACGGACATTCTCTTCTTTTTATTTTACCTTGGAGTGCGGAATTGTTGTTAATATCATTAATTTATTAGTCTGATAGGTTCTCTCAAAATTACAGAAAAATATAGAGCATTACATTGGTAACAAGAATGTGTCCATAGTACACGGATGCCCCAATCGCACTTTCATTTTCTATGTTCAGTGGACCGTGAAATTGTAGTCTTAACTCTGATTTTGCATTAAAATTAGAAAGATCATATCATAGGGAACATGTGTACTACGTTTCAAGTTAATTGGATTTAAACTTCATCAAAAACTACCTTGACCAAATACTTTTACCTGAAGCGGGACAGACGGACGGACGAAGGGACGGACGAACGAACGAACGAACGAACGAACGAACGGACGCACAGACCGAAAAACATAATGCCCCTCTACTATCGTAGGTGGGGCATAAAAACTCGTAGTTGACACATACAGCTGATTTGTAATATCTTGCTACAATTTCTGTTTAGAACTGCAAGTTTATACATTGATCAATACTGTTGCATCTTAATAATGTTGTTATACTGCCGTTTAGTCTCTAAATCTTTCAATTTAATGCCAGAAAACATTTGACAAATATTGCATTAGTGTAATATAAGACATACATATATAAGCTACCACAGACATGGAATGTTAAGTTAATATTTTGATTATATGATATTCGTCGTATATCATATATGATTAATTTATAATACCCTGATATTGATATATTCATTTAGTAGCTACCATTTGATTATTTAATATTGAAACGATTTATAACGTACAAAAGATAACTTCTATTGCCACAACTGCCTCAGATTAATGAAGATTTATAAATGTTCAAATAGTTAATTTAGTCCTAACAACAGGTTTTTTTCTCAAAAAATGCTCCATAAAAATGTTCCCGTACGTACCAACAAAAGTTCAGCAACAAAAGAACATATTAGGTAGTGGAGAATAACTAAATTAATTAGCTGAATCTTAAAGCCACGAACATTTTAAGCAACACATCAATGTATCTTCATGTAATATAAGTACACATAATTTTTAGTTAAATAATACAAGACAGGTTTCATTTGATCTGTTAGTTTTTTCTTGATATAAGATATATTATCAATTTCCCTTAAGCAGACAAGTTGAGAAGTCTGGTTTGAAACATTAAGATTTTTTGGTACTATTATGGACATTTAAATCATTCTAATCACTCATATGCACATTAATAAGTGGGGTCAAGACCCCCTTTCTATATCAGCTTAAATTCTAAATATGCATAAATAGTATTTACCCTTTGTCTCCAACTGTTGCTGTATGAAAAGGTATCTGAACAAAAAGGCAACAATGGGGCAATATTTGTGAAAAGTTTTTAAAATAAAGATAATTGTAATTCATTTTTAAAATATGTTGTATTGTAATTTTTATCGATGCATACAATAAAAACGTCAAAAGGGAATACTAAAAGATCCTTTTTCCTCATTTTTGCAAATCAATCTCCCAATTAGGGCCTCGTTAGATATTATGAGCCATGACGCAGTACTTACCGGTCGGTATGGTAATCAGTTGGACTGTAGTATAAAAGAATGAGTCCCAGCCAAACTTTACGAGGACAACACTTGTCAGGGTTTAAAACATGGTTCGGTTTTCCCTAGCATCGGTACTATTACTGGCTGTCACCAGCACAGCTTTTGCTGGACCATTAGGTGGTAAGACGAACTTAATTGGCAATCTTGTCATTAGATTTAAATTAGTTAATCATATTTCATTGATTTATTTCTAATACTTTAGTTAAGTTTGATTTTTTTTGTGAAATTGCTGTTTGAGTATTTCTTTAAATTTAAAGATGATAATAAAAACATTTATGTTTCAACGTTAACTATATCTATAGATATTTAAATAATTTGGTGAATTCAAATAAGATGAACTAACTAACTTCACATTTTTAAAACACGTAACCTGTAATTGTATTTGTCAAAACTTGTTTCAGTTATTTTATCATTTACTTGCATTGCACAAACCACTATTTATGCAAGACTTAACATTTCTTGTTATATGTTTTCTTTTTGTTGCACCTTTCTACATTGTTCCAGTAGTTGACTAAAGTTTCTAACGATTCTAATTATTTCAAATTTCAAATATGTTTTTACTTTTAATGTTAAAGCTATTACTTTAGCAACTTCGTTTGTAGAATTGACCCTCCCTTTCTGTTACATTAAGCATAAGTCGACCCATTAACGCAACAGTTGTCACACAAAAAGGCTTTACAAACGGAAGCTAATGAACCGAAAAGCATTATTGGTATTTGTTCATGACTGACAGAAAATCGACATAGCTTCTTTAGATTTCCATTATTTTCGCATTATGTTTACATATTGGAATAACTTACACTTAATCAGATACTTAATCATTTGAATAATAACTACATATTAATATAGTTGTACACCATATTGGAAATTATCATATATTTAGGGAATATTTAGAATATTTGACTTCGCTTTCATATTAGGAAGTTAGGCATCGACCATTCATCTTTAGTGTGGGCATGGGGACTTAAACTATCTTTTCTACTTTAATCACAAACAAATTATTTGTTTAATAACATACAGGAACATGACATTTAAAAGCTAAACAAACGATGTAGAATATGATTTATTAACTAAATTGAAGGTAAATGCAAATGATTTCTCTCCATTCTTTGGTTTAATACAATCATCAACCAGAAAACCCTTTTCTCTTTTCAAAATCAATCAACATTGTGAGATCATCCGATCATCCGATCACACACACTCATGACCGATTAATTGAGAACAGTCTTTAAAATGTACTAAAGTATCGCTTTCCAAGAACAGAAGTTAATGTTTTACATTCATTCTTAATATTCATCATAACAAATGAACATATATATCGCCACTGAATTTCACGACGGACCAGGTGATTTATTAGGTCATCTTCCCGCCAGGCTACTTCTTTTTCGGTAGTACTTTCATTATGTTGTTTTCTACGTGTTTGCTTGAGATTCGATTATGGTATTCTTAAACAAGCTGCGGCGCAGAGATCATATACGTTCCGTTCCATACTACGTAACACTTCACTAAATATTAAGTAAGTAGAGTATTGCGGAGCACGTACGGAACGGATATGAACTCTGTTTCGGAGATTGATTTGTAAATATTTTCTCTTTACAGATTATGGTGGTAATGGAATCAAGATAGTACGTAAGTACCTATTATGTTTTGTATGCGGAACTACAATCGGACATTGGAGTTTTCCAGTGAAAATGAGAAAAACTTGAAGTAGTTACAGTTTCTAGATATAGAAATAACTAGTTGCAACAAAATGGGGTGATCTATAAAATCATTCAAAATGTTTAGCAATGTTTCATCTTGTTTTCAGCAATTCATGTAAAACAAGAAAGTTGACAGGTCGTCAAATTTTCTGAAGTTTCATACTAGTAATCCCTGCACACTATTTATTGATAAAAGTTTTTAACTATTTGTTTACTTCATTCTAGATATTTTGAAATCAATGTATATACGTTGCATTCTTTCTTACATTTTGATTGGGGAGTATTTGTTGGAGAAGTGAAGTATACAGTTTTCTGTTTGCCTCTACTTTGCCTTTTTTTTCATTTTTGTTACAAAATCTGTTGGAATTAGAGAATAATTTGTAATTCTCTTCCTTCAATTTTCAGCTTACCACGGAGGCGGAGGAGGAGGAGGAGGAGGTGGCGGAGGAGGCCATGGCGGAAGTATGTCTATTTCCTAATTTAAAACATGCCATAATTATTAGTTTGTTATCTCACTATTTCTCCATTCATCCATCCATCCATCCATTTCACCTTTTTCACCAATGAGATATCCAGTGGTCATAAGGCCACTAACCAATCTGTTTTTCTTTTTGAGGACAAGAATAACAAAATGTTAGGATTAGCAGGTTGGATATCTCCCAAGAGTTCTTCTATTTAATTAAAGCATTTACTCATATCAAATGAATATAATTGAGATTAAAAGAATAGTTAGAATACAGTCTTTCTGATCTTATTTCCTTTGTCGTGAAATATCATTAGGTTTTCGTTCGGCATATTAAATATAGCGCACAAAAGAAAAACGAACGGATTTTTCCGTCGTGAACTCTTACTGGCATGTTGATTGATTTATGCTAGGATTTGGAAAGCACAAAACCGGAGCCGGTAACAAAAATGTAGCATTTTAGATTTCATGAAAGAAAAAAAAGAAAAGGTTGTACATTACTATCATAGAACTATTACACCAGTGATTCTTCGTGCGCATTATTGCAGTATTTCGTACAATTCAAAGATATTGATTTTTGTTTTCAAAATATAAAATCTATGGGGAAAAGGTAACATCTTGTATTCCTATAATGCAAGAAACAAGGATTAATAGCAACAATGCGCCTATATACCTTTACCATATCTATAGCACACTCTCTTTAACCTTTTACCTTTGATGTTTGCATATTTCATGTTTTTATTCAATGACACATTTGCGACAAATAAGTTCAGCTAAAAATTGCAATGCGTGCAATCAATGATTTAAATTAAAAAAGAATGCAGTAGAAGAGCAAGAAAACGTTTGACAAACTAGGAGAAGCTATCTCACATATACATTGTTTAGTTATTATCAAAAGTAAAGCAAATTTAAAGGAGACGAAATTGTTTCATTTGCAGGCTGGTCCCATGGTCCATATCACCGACATGGACTTGGTAAGCGCATAGTGCTGCTGCTATAACTTCTGCATCTGCAAATGTTTTAAGATCGCTTCATATCGATATAAAGAAAGATAATGCAATTCTAAAGCAATTCTATAAAATAATCTTTAATGAATCAGTAGCTGTCTTGTTTGTGTAAACTAGATTGCACCTTCCGCTTTTTTCATTGTCTAACTTTGAAATTAGTTAAGGTCAAAGTGTTTGCAAATGCAACATCGTATTTTAGTTCGACCTTACTGCTTGCTTTTAAATAAACTACTCGTAAATGCATTTAAAATCGCATCAACATGTTTATACATAAATTTATGCTGGCTGCAAAAAAAATTGATGGAGCAACCAACAGTGCACAGATTTGAGCGTACGCAATTTTTAACTTTGTCTCAATAAAATGCGTTATTCGTACTGAAATCGATGCATCGTGATTTCAATAGAAATATTTTTCGGCATTTAAAGGAGTAGGGCTCTGAAAGGGTTGATAATTCTTTACATCATTGATGCGTATGTAAAAGTCAGTTGTATCAATGCATGCAAATAGAATTCATTAAATCTGTGTCATTTATAGAAGCTTACAATTGAATAATAATTATGGTTGAAAAAAACGTATCTGTGATCGTAAAGAGCTATGTCTCTTATCCTAGAAGTACTGCTTTACATTAACACACGCGAATAGTAAATTGTTGTTGGCCTTTTGTACAGCTTTAATAACATACCCGATAAGAACACGCCTTATAACATGATATTTTTTCACAACTTTTATACAGGTGGTGGTAGCGGAAGCGGAGGATCGTCTGCACATGCCCACTCTTCAGGTACATACATATATGTTTTCTATTTGTAAAGTTTTATTTAACTGCAGTGTTAATATTTATCTTATTCAATTCTGTTTCGTGTATATTCAAAGAATATGCGTGATATGTTTGCATCTGGACTAAAACTGAACTAAAAAAATCAATCAATGATTTAACCTATATTTACTTTTAAAAATGGTTTTATTGGTTTCTTCATTACCCATTCTTAAAAAAAGATAAGTGATAAAGTCTTTTTGATTCAATGAGAAGCAAAACATACTGGACCACGTGGTTTGTTAACAGATACATCAACACAGGAATAAAGATTTAAATACATGTATACAATTTCTATAATTTAAACTAAATGCGTGTATTCACAATTATGATTAAATCCACTCACACACAAAAAGAAACTTTGTTGAATTTACAAATATATAATAAAAAGAAATGGTCTCAAACACGAATTTTTCTTTCAGCATCTGCCCATGTTCACCATTTTGGAAGTGGATCTTCACATGCATCAGCTGGCTGTAAGTAAAAAGAAACTTTCCGAATATCGATCGAATATTATAGCAGATATACTTGACTGTGAAAGAGAACAATGAAGATTTCTCAAAAATCATTTCATTTTTCTGGTTTTTAAGTTTCTCTGTTAAAACAATACAATAATATTCACAATTATGATTAAACCCACTCACACACAAAAAGAAACTTTGTTGAATTTACCGATATATATATAAAAAAATGGTCTCAAACATGAATTTTTCTTTCAGCATCTGCCAATGCTCACACTTTTGGAGGTGGACCTTCACATGCATCAGCTGGCTGTAAGTAAAAAGAAACCTTCCGAATATCGATCGAATATTATAGCAGATATACTTGACTGTCAAAAATCATTTCATTTTTCTGGTTTTCAATTTTCACTGTTAAAACAATACAATAGTCACTAGGGAAGAACTAAAATCATATACAGCACGATAAACATCGAAAACGAGAGGATAAACCAGTCAATTGCGCGAATAAAGTTAGGGAACGAAAGAAGAAAAGAAAATAGAATACTTGGAAAATATATGAAACAGAAGTAACACATTGTTCGTCTCTTAAATAAACAAAATTTAAACCAGATCATTGTTGTCTACTGGTCGACATTGGTTTACTACATGGTAAACATATAAAGATGTGGTATGATTGTAAATGAGACAACTCTCCATCAGAGACCAAATGACGTAGAAGTTAACAAATATAGGTCCCGGTGTGTCCCTCAACAATGAGTAAAAACGCACATCGCATAGCAAGCTTTAAAAGGCAATGAAATATGTAAAACAATTCAAACGATTATGTTTCCTTTACAGCATCATCCCATGCATCAGCCTCACATGGTGGTTTAGGAGGTGGCAGTGGTAAGTACCTTTACATTTTGACCACTTGTTACTAAGTTCCGAATAGAACACATGCATCTTTCTATTAAACAAAAGTTAAATGTTCTGTCAAAATACACAATTTTTTACAATTAAGGATGTTCGCTACTCTGTTTCAAAATAACAAGCTTTTTAAAAGACTGTTACAAATTGATAGTATATAAATGAAGGAACTAAAAAAGCAGAAAAAAAATGAAGGGTCCGTGTGCTTGTTTTCGAGATATAAGCCATGAACATTTGGCGGGGAATGATTCTCTCTAGATTTTTCATACATTTATCATTGGCACCTTTTTCTTTCAAAAACAGTGAAAAAATTACAAGGATTTTATAAGATTTTCAAATATGGCTTTTTAAACTATATGTAATAAAATTATGAAAAGAAAAGTAGTGATTAGCGAGCAAAATATTTATTAGCACTACATGGATAAAACCAGAGGATTCCGAATATCTGACAAAAATTCAAAAACAAGAGGAGCGAACATCCTTAATAGTCTTATTTTTGTCGAAAACCTTCCATTCGTTTCATTTCCTTCAAATTCATCTTTCAAACATTTGCGTGCATTAATTATTAGTTCGTCTCATATTGCAACTCTTTTTTTACGAAAGTAATTATATTTCAGCTCATGCACATAGCAGTTCTAGCGCTCACGCTCTATCCGGTGGATTTGGTGGATTCGGAGGTATTGGACCAGGAGGCATTGGCGGCATTGGCGGCGGCGGATTAGGTGGTGGTCCTGGTGGCATTGGCGGCATTGGTGGTCCAGGTGGCATTGGCGGTGGTGGAATAGGTCCCGGCGGCATCATATTCGGCCCAGGTAAGCAAACACATTTCATTACGGATTTTTTTTCTTCAAATAATCATTCATGTTTTCAAATATTTCTCGTTCCAGTTACAGTTAAAATAGATCAACCATTTTATTCCTCTTTTTTTTCTCAAAAAGATGAAATATTACAGCCTTTACGTTGCTAAATTATTTATAAATAACATCTTGAGCGTCATGATTTTGAACGTTTTTTTTTATTCTGGAGGATAGCCGTCTTTTGTGTTGTATATAACTTTTAGTTTATTTAAAAGACCTGGGTTTATTCAATGTATTCAAATCATTGTTAAGTAACAGAATGATATAAATATAATTAGCAAGCACTTTTATTTTGCAAACTTAATCCTAAATTTGAAATTAATTACTAGTACTTTTAGTCAGAAGAGTTGTAATCTATGTACGACACTGTTTACAAATCTCTGTAAAAATATTGCATCTATATAGATGCACAGAAATTGGTCGTTAGGGTGTTATACATTCAATATCCTTATAATTTTAATTTTGTTTATTTCATTTAGGTGGTCCAGGTTCCGCTAGTGGATCAGGCAGTGGCAGTAAGTAATTCATTTCAACACTTCAGAATATGATGCATTCTGGGTAATGTTTCAAAAATTCAACACCAAATGGCAATTTGTAATTGGTTAAAAAAACCATAAACGATGGAAATTCAACCGTTAACGTGAAGTTTTTTTTTTTATTTTGGGGTAAACACAATGAAATTACCAACATATCTAAAACTGCATAAATATAACATTACATCATTTATACTTGAGTGTGTAAAAAGAGCAATGAAATTTAGTTTGTTTATTTGCTAGTTTCCCATACATTTAATCTTACTTTTGATTACTACTTATTGAAAGAGTAACGATAGTTATTACCAGCCATTCAAATCATTGGACGAGTAATAAAAGGGGAACAAGACACATGTTTCATCCGATAATTCTAATATTTGCAATAGCTTAAGACGAATTCATGATTCCCCTAGCAAAATAACAATTACGCACGAAATACACTCTCAAATTGTTCAGCTGTTAACAAATGATCTATAGAAGCAATCATTAAAATGTGTGTATCTATCACAAATAACATATAGTATAAGTGATATTTCACATTTCCAAGAAAATGATAACAATCGTTTGCTACAGAATTTATCGATTTTAGTGACTCCAATATAAATGATCTCAGTCATAAAGTTTACTTTAATGAACATGACACATTATTATTTCGGTGCGTCCGGTGCGTCCGAAGCGTCCGAAAATTAATGAAATTTCTTATCTTATTGATAGTAATAAATTCAAAATAGCAGAAATTAACGATGAAAATCAAAAGCGCATTCAAAAAAGCCATAAGAAAAAATGATCGATCCCCTAAAATAAGTACACACTGACAAAACAATATTTGACTACTAATACAAATTTTCCGGTACAAAAAATTGTACAACGAATTGTCAACTTAGGATAGAAAGCAGAAATGTAAAACATATTCTCCCATTTTGAAACGCTATGACTATATTTGTTTTCGCTGTAGGAGCATTTGGTGGTAATGGAGGTTCAAGCGCAAGTGCAAACGCAGCAGCTCGTAAGTATTTTTTTAAAATCTTCACCATGGACAAAATTTAATGCAAATCCACCCGAGACCTAAGAATGAGGATGAAACCATTATAGGTCACTATATAGCCTTAAACAACGGACAAAACCCACATCATATCTTGTAATATAGTATTTGATAATGCTACAATTAAACTCAACCCCCTTTCCCCCACCTAGAATATAGATGTGAAAACTGGACCAATTCAGTAAATAAACTTACATTGAAGTTCGAAAGATTTAAGAGCTCCTTGTAATTCTTTACTTCTAAATGTGAATTCTAGCCCCTCGTTGCTTATATTGGCTACGAATGTGGTCTATAAGAATGATTACCTGTTACAAAAAATCGCTTGTTACCAATTACAGTGAAGGATTTCTAATTGTGTAAATCATATGTAAATTTCTTATATATACAGGTGCAAGTGCAAGTGGTGGCGGTGGATTCGGTGGACCAGGCTCTCCAGGAAATGCAGGTAAAATATTGTTTTTGAGATCAAATGGTAATTCTCTAGTTCGGTTGATTTACTATAATAATTAACATATTTTTGATTTATTAAAATTATGAAATCAGTACGATTCACGGATTGTATGTTTAAGTTATTATCATCAACTGGAATAATATAATTTGCAACCTATTACGAGCTATCGACACGGTAGGGGCTATAGGTAACACAATTCAAATCATGCTGTACACAATTGAAAATCAATTCTATTGCAATGGCATTCGGCAACGCAGACAAAAATCTGCTATGCACGAAACTTTTTTTTCATAGTAGTCGGTAACAAAGATCATAACCTATTGTAAATGTGGTATCGATTGCCGGTAATAGTGTATGTATAAAAGCTTCGGATAAATATAAAACGATTTTTTTGTATTTGTTTTAAATTTGTTTTTAGTGAATTCGTACTGACGATGATATTCTTTTCCGTCATAAGAACTTTCGTTTTTAACAATTATTGTTTTTGTATATTTTATAACATTATGTTATACACTTTACATACATATTTTGTAGGAGCACCAGGTCAACCTGGAATACCAGGAGCCCCAGGTACGTACATCTTTTCCAAATGTCCAGTTCCATGCTATTTTAATGGCAACTGTGTGCTAACAAACTCTACCTATTTAAAATCCTCCAATATCATACTAACGCTATAAATACAGTTCCTCCCCGCTATCGATCTCTCCAACTTGCGAGGTTAATATAGTCATCAAAGAGCATCGAAATATAACGACTTGATAATTCCGGTTAATATCATACCTGTTTAAATTGGATTTAAATGATCATAATGATTAAAAAGGCCTTCCATGTAGGTTTTGAAATTTAGTTATTAAATGACATATATCACTAACCACGTGGATCATCAACGCGATTTTCTTATATACTTAGAACATCAAATAAAAAATCTATAAATAGTCTGTCTGCCAACTGTCTGTAAACCAATAGTCAGTCTACCAAAAGTCTGTCTACCAATAGTCAGTAGAACAAGTCTGCTTAGTCAGTCTACTACAAGTCTACATACAAATAGTCTGTCGACCAACAGTCTGTTTACTAATTGTCTGTTTACCAACAGTATGTCTATCTATATTCTATACTTTTTGCCCATATACGTACAATATCACGACCATGTATTCTTATATCAAATTATGTCAATTGCATCTGTTTTTCATTTCATCAAAGTTACTATTTCTTTGAGGAATAAGAAATGATATATTAAAAAGCCAATGCATTCATTTCAGTTTACCAATATATACTTCAAATTAAGTAAATTTATGCTTTATCTTTTAAAGGAGTACCAGGACGTCCCGGAATAACCCAACCAGGCCGACCAGGAAATGCAGGACCACCAGGTCAACCAGGTAAAAATTACATTAAATATGTAACTGCAAATCTGAATCATAAGCTCAAACAAGTTAAGGTGGTACCCAACACCTTGACTAATATTAATTTGGCTCGTTTAATTTTCATAAAATTTTGACAAAATGTTTACTTTGACCCTTTGACAAAAATATAAAAATTTCAAAAAATTTGAACCAACCACTTTATCAGAAAAATTTCATTGGTTATATAGCAGTTTGACAAACACTAATTTTGATCATTGAGAAGCTTAATATTTCCTTAACAATACAACGTAATTAAAACGTTTAGCTGATTTTTACAGAGTTATCTCCCTGTAGTGTTAGGTACCACCTTAAATAAGAACGACGTAAATGTGCCAAGAAGACAACAATATGAGGGTTAATGTTATCAGATCTTACAGTACTCACAGTGCTAAAATACTAATTATGCATAAATTTAAACTGTCATATTTCAAAATGAATTCTCATTTGGGGTGAAATAATACTTTTTTACTTCAAGATTATAATATAGTATACGATGCTATTTTCAAATTTTAAAGCAACATTACATGTTTGTGCTATTGTAAGTAACATGTACTATTCAGAGTTATATATACAAATAAGGAGATGCGGTATGATTGCAAATGAGACAACTCTCAACCAGGCACCAAATGACATAGAAATTAACAACTACAGGTCACCGTATGTCTTTCAACAATGCGCAAAACCCATACCGCATAGTAAGCTATAAAATGCCCCTAAATCTCAAATGATGAGCAATTCCAACGTAAATGTGTATAGATATGTAAGATACTTATATACTATGTATTGTTTATAGGTAACCCAGGTCGTCCAGGCGCAGGAGGAAGACCAGGCGCACCAGGACGGCCAGGAGGACCAGGTATGTACAAAATGAAAACAATAATTTATAACGGACATGCGCCTGACGCGCTTTTCTGGATTAACCTTCATGGGGAACGCTCAAAGCCGAATATTTAAAGCCACGTGTAAACATAACAACTATTCAGGACATCATGTTTGTCTCATTTTCTTAATTTAATGTCAAATTTTATGAGATAGTATTTAAAAAGACATAGAGAGGAAATTGAGATGACACATATGAGCAATAAAATGTCTACACTTTCCAAAGTAGGATAAAAGGCATGACAAAGCCCTCAAAAAAAAAGTGTAAAAAAAAAAAAAAAAAAAAAAAAAACTCCGAAAGGACATCAGTTCATGAAACACTACACAGACAAATGGTTATAGAGCACTACGAACACCAACACCACGATGAATTTGAAATGAGTTCAGGTGCTCCGAAAAGGTAAGAAACTCCATAACTGCCGTGCTAGTTATAAACAAGAAAGAACGAAATGAACTTGAAGTCTTACGTTCTTGATATATACGGGGATAATATTCGTGAGCAATAGGTCAGAGTACAACTTGTTTGCAATAAATGTATAAACAAATTATGTTACGATAAATATTTAGACATACACATATATTTTATTTTAAAGGACGTCCAGGAATCCCCGGCAAACCAGGAAACCGAGGACAGTTAGGACAGCCAGGTAATGCCATGTCTTTAGGACAGAAATAGGGAGATCTCTAAAAGTCATGTTTGTTTAACGATGTTGTTGATGAGTTACTGTCTTATTAGTTTTAACACCATATTTACTTTTATCTATATTAACAATTTCATAATATATGAATGATACACATATGATGAAATATAAGTACCGTAAATATACAGAAAAGAGCTCCGATGAACTGAAAAAAATACAGTTTATCTATCATCTTTTTCTCATAATTCATGAGAACATTGTAAATGTAATCGTTGTAATAATGAAAAAAAAAACGACCACATCTTACCACCCCCCCCCCCCCCCCCCCCCCCCCAAAAAAAAAAAACAACCAGACATTTCTTTATAATCATGTTGGAGAAAAAAAAAACGTCTGCTGACTTTTCTAGAAACCGCCACCTCAGACTATCATAAATATACAACCAGTACAAAAACTCATATAGATTGGTGGGATGGTAAATATGTTATTTTTATACGAAATTTGCAGTGATTTAATAGTCTTCTGTTTTTTGTAGGCTCACCAGGACAGCCAGGTCACCCAGGTATTTATTTTATAATTGTAACACGACAATGTATGTTTTTCTATCAATGAATGTTTAAATTATTGTTTAGATAATTACCTTTCCAAATGGCTAAATACTTGATGTGAAAGGGTTTGAATATTTATTTACGAGAAAATTATAGAAAAGTTATATGTAACTTACTATTAAGTGATGTGTCACATCTTATGAAAGTTAAACACGACTGGTTCCCTATTGCAGGAGCATCAGGACAACCAGGTAGAAACGGAAGTCCAGGAAACCCAGGTAAACCAGGAACACCAGGTCACTCAGGAACACCAGGTCAGTATATTATGCCAAGAATGAAAATCATCCTCAAAACTACACTAAAATTAAAATTTGAAGATTATAATATAAATTAATGACACACATAAAATATCAAAAAGAAAGAACTAAATAATTGTTTTTAAACATTTTGTAATTGTTACCATTGTAAATTACGTGAGATGTGAACTTTGTAGTTTCTGAACACCTTTTACCTTAGTTGGTCATTTTTTGTAAGATTTTATACTATGTACTGTAATTTTTGCCCAATTTGTGGGACAAACATTGCCGCCTTAGATCATTCCTTTAATAATGTGTATACTATGCATAATACAAAACATAGAAAAATATGTTTTGTTTTGTATTTAATAGGATCACGTGGATCACCAGGAACCCCAGGAACACCAGGACAACCAGGAGTACCAGGTAAATTAATTGTACAATGTGATCTTACGTCATAAGTGTTTAACGCCCAGGAACACATAGACAACCAGCAGTACCTGGTAAAATAATTGTATAATGTAATCTTACGTCATAAGTGTTTAACGCCCAGGAACACATGGACAACCAGCAGTACCTGGAAAAATAATTGTATATTGTGATCTTACGTCATAAGAGCACTTACGTCATAAGAGCACCAGAATGAAAATAAAAATAGATGACAAAAAATAAAAGAAATCAATAAATTTTAAAAAAAATATAGCAATACATTCTGTGACTCATTCAATGGTTTATTCTTTAACAGTCTAATTTATGCAAGACATGGTATTTGTAGGCACCACCGGTGGACGAGGACCAAGAGGGCCCGCTGGAATAATCGGATTAATTGGTAAGAATGACATAATGCTTCTTTTAATTTATTGATCTATTTTGTATTTCACTCCGTTTAAAAAAAAATAAACGTATATGAAAACATAACTTAAAAGTAATGAATCAATTTATAAATTTTACATCCGTCCTTGTTAATGAAAATTAGACCAGTCAGAACGTCCAAAACAGAAACGTTCCCGTTATGCGGTATATACCATTTTTGATTGGTCCATTTGGAATAGAAGAAAGAGTTAAATATTAATTTAAATACCATTAATATTTCATATAATGTAAACACGTGAGACACTATTACATTTATCTTATTCAAATTGAATATGTCACTTGTACATATTTTAGTTTTTCTTTGAAAGTTAACTGCCGAAATAAAAATCCTCATTTATTTTTCAACAGGACCTAAAGGAAATCCCGGAGCATCAGGAAATCCAGGCGCACCAGGAATACCAGGTATTTAATACTACCATTAAGACCTTGGTTAATGGCGATATTTCGTTAATCGTTAATGCGTTTGTTAGAGGCCTATGCATAAATGCCTTTTGGGCATTCAGGAAATTTATAATTTAAATAGTTGTAGTAATTTAGAATTTTACTATAAATGTTTGAAAATAGATGACTCAAATTTAAGAGTTTCGTCTTGTTACATACTTTTACCTCGTTTTCATGTTCTAAACCCCGATAATAAACACAGATATGAATATTAATAAAAACATAATCATGTAATCAGCAAATTCCCTGATATAGCACCTGTCATGAAGGCCTTTTATACGTAAAATACATATATTTTTTTTTACTTTCATAGGAGAGGGAGGACCAAGAGGACCACAAGGTAAAATATTTCAAAATTTTGTGCATCCTAATAAAAGAACCATAAAACATTAATTTTCAATTAAGCATAATTTTATACGGATGAAGAACATAAATATATATCTGTAATTCGACGTTTAAGAATCTGATGCATTCTGGGTCAAATTTTCACAAGCCGGATACCTAAACGTTGTGATTTGTAAACAATATCATAAACAATGAAAATTCAACCAATGACGTGATGTAATTTTCATTTTGGAGGACAAACATTGAAATTACCCACAAATCTTTAGAACTGTCTTAGCTTTAATACATCTTGACATCAATTTGGTTTATTCTCAAAGGACCAGCCGGAGGACCAGGATCATCAGGCCCATCAGGAGACAAAGGATCACCAGGTACACCAGGCGGAAACGGACCAAGAGGAGCAATCGGACCACAAGGACCATCAGGTAAATCATTTTTTTTAGATACCCACTTTTGATTTATATAATTCACCACATCCTTTCTGCTGACATAATTTTTTTCTATTAAAACAATTTTGGGTAGAACAAATAGTGCAGAAGCAAAATCTCTGAATGAAAGGATAATTATAGGTGATAGTATATGTAATTGATCTACTGTTCCAGTTGTGCAATTGTTAAAACTGTTCAAGTTTATCATTCTTCAGTTGCCAAAAAACAATAAATTATAATTGTAAAATGAAATTTATTACGCTGATTATGTATTCGAAATATATCTTCAGGACCACCCGGGGATGGAGGACCACAAGGAGGAAGAGGATCACCAGGAACACCAGGCAAACCTGGAGCTAAAGGCCCACAGGGTAAGCACTGTAACTTTAAAGATGGAAATAAAAAAACTAATAAATCCTATATATCCAAATCATGTTAATGTTGGATTGGTTCTTCATTTGCAAATTTCTTTTCTTGACTTAAATCTACATTTTCTACCAAAATAAAACTCACATTACAGTTATGCCTCAATCTTAAACTTTCCTGCTTATGATACAACAGTGCGGAGATTCACAATTATATTATGCACAACTAAATGTATACTTAAGGAATTAAAATATATACATACAAATGGATAGCCTTTGAATTCTATAGATATGAGACAACAATCAAGGTCATAAACAAACAAAACATAATAAAAAAAGAATGTATTCAACTGAGCAAAGTCATAATTGTTGTAAGATTAAAGAAGAAAATGTATGTTAACTATTGGAGGTTTTTACTTTTTTATCTTCAGGATCAAACGGAGACGTTGGACCACAAGGAGCATCCGGACCAAAAGGACCACAAGGTACATAATTACCTATATGCCGGTTATACCGTTCACTCTTTTGTCTAAAGCAAAATAAACCGCTTCGGTTGTCTATTTGTTTCGTGAACGCCACGAGTGCAGGAAGTCACGGATTTGAACCCAGTCTGGGTCAAACAAAAGACTAGAAAATTGATATGTGCTGCTTCTACGCTTTATAGCATGTGGCAATTGAGAGTAGTAAATATAAATAATAGATAAGAATACCATAATCTTTGCAAGTACTTCGTCAACGGCACAGCGCAAGTGCTAAGGAAAAAACCACGATGAAAAAAACGCAAACAAACGTGGAAGAAAGATAGTTTTAATTGATTCTGAAAGATGTATGTTCATACACTAAATCATTGAATATCTGTAAGGACAAAGTTCAATTAACAAATATAAACATCGATCTATTGCATGTCTACCTTCTCACTTAATTTTCACGTGCTCCATGATTCTGTGTCGATTTTAAAAAAGGCCAAATTCAGTAAACCTCGGCAAAAATACAAAAGTTAGTAATGTAAATGTAAAAATCGTACATAGAGGAGTTCGTTTAGTATATATACATGTATTGGTTCAATAATTTGAATTTTCTATAACTTCATAATTTTAAGAAACTCGTTTCATATGACTGTACATGTATCTTATATTGACTATTTGTATTTACAGGTCCACAAGGAAAAGCGGGTGTCAAAGGTAATATTTTGTTTTCATTTGTAGTCAGTATGTAGCAAATGCATATCGCAGTTCATATTTAAAACCATCGTTTATAAATCGTTTGGTCCTGATCATATTTGTTAATAGTAGCAAACATTAAAATTGAAGCGATCAAATTCAAACGTTCTCACAACTCACAAGTATCATAAGTTGAACATTACATTTAAGGTCTTTTACAAAGGGAGTATTTCTTTTAATTTCAGGACCAGCCGGAGATCAAGGAGCTAGAGGAGCAGAAGGAACAGCCGGACCACCAGGACCACAAGGAGAACAAGGATTGAAGGGTCCATCAGGAGGCCAGGGACCAGCCGGTATAAATATATATATATGCAATTGTTCAGTGAACTTGCATTGTGGATTTTTTTTTAATCAATTACATTTTAATACATACATATTGTACATATACATTTGTATTACAGAACAATGTTTTAGTGTACAGTGTATAAAAGTTTTTTACTACTCATTTAACTAGTTTTTCCTCAGATATTATTTATTTATTACAAATCCGTGATGTCGAAACGATTCATAAAAACTGGAGACCAAGTAAAATTATTACAATGAATTAAGAATATTCAATTTTTAAAATGTACTATTTAGTTTAAAAACCACAACTGATAGGTTGATATGTTCTAATCACGGTATTTACTTATTATAGGACCAGCCGGACCATCAGGAGAACAGGGACCAGGAGGTGAAAGAGGAGGCCAAGGACCACAAGGACCTGAAGGACCAACTGGTGGGTATTTTATTCAGGTCAGGTGATCTGTCTTAATAAACATGAACTACTCACTATACGGAGAAAATGTTCTTCTATAGATTAGAGCTTACAGGGGTAATACAGATGTAAGCAATACATATATTCTGAAGATTTCTGACTAAATGAAGATCAATTATACATGTATTTATTTACAAGTTTTGTACACGAATACTTATAAAGTACCATACAATGATAGATCCCCAATATCCAGGTACCTAAATATGCGTCACAGAATTATCCACTCGTTTGATGTAAACTTTACAATAAAAACCGAAACACAAATTAACCAAAATTGAAAAAAAACACAAGTCTAACAAAGACCAGAGGTTTCCGACTTGGGAAAGGCGCAAAAATGTGGTGGGGTTAAACATGGTTTATGAGATCTCAAAGACTCCTAATTAGTCGAAATGATGTGACCTTGGTGATGTTTTCTTTTTAATTCTACGTCCATTTAGTTTCAATTGTATTATGACAAATATTGCTTTGATTAACAGGACCAGCAGGACCAAGAGGAGCATCTGGATCACAGGGACCAGCAGGGGAACGCGGCGCACCTGGAGCACCAGGTAAAAAAGGACCAAATGGAGACCGCGGCAACCAAGGACTACCAGGAGCACCAGGCAAAAATGGAGCCAGAGGAGATAGAGGAGCAAGAGGTCTGTTTTGTTATTGTTTATGTTTAGCTCCCAACTTACATAAGAAAAAAAAATGTTCATAGATTAATAACTTCATATTTTTTTCTTGATATTTTGTTTCTAATCTTTATACTCTTTATAATCTGTTTTTTTTTCCAAGATATTTTATGGCCTAAGTTTAACGTGAAGTAAATGTAAAAGTTTAGATAAATTAATATAGAATAACCATAATTTTGTAGCAACAAAATCATACATTGTAAAATATGAAAACACTTTCACAGATCAACGATATATATTTTAAAAATTTCATTAGACTTAAACATTTGAAACAACAGTTTTATAACTCTCTGAAATTAATAGAAATATATTAAAAACGGAACAAATGAAATCTCCATCTTATAATCATGTTGTATTTGTTGTATTTGTTCTGATGATTAACATATTTAAACGATGGGTCTTTTCACAGGAAGCAACGGATCACCCGGCAGAACAGGAGCACCAGGAAGCCGAGGAAAGATTGGACCACAAGGACCACATGGACCAAGAGGAGCACGAGGTATTTTAAACTATAAGATAACATGCAATTTTCATATTGAATAAACACACTGGTAAAGACGGATAAACATTGATGTTTATTTGTAATAATTTCAACTATATATTGAATTATAATTCAATGCATAATACTGCAATTTCAGTATAGTTATCAATAATTAATAACTGTGAAATAGTTAATAATAATCTTATTTGCACCCATAATAATCTTATTTGCAAATTACACCCATATAGGTCAAGCGAAAAAAAAAACCCACAAAATAAAAAACAATATAACACAAAATATAACACCATATTTACACAACAGTCAAGAATTACAAGTTTAAACATAAAACAAAAACATAGTAATGTTAATGTAACTTTTGATGAACATGGATCTCATTTTCGCAACTCTAAAGATTGGAGTCACCAACTGCTGCCAAAAGTTCAGATTAAGGATTTAAAATTTGTTTTAGCTTGAACACTGGTTGAGAATATGAAATAGTCATAGAAAGTTGAGATACTATGATGATACATACAAATACAACGAGTTGTGTGTCCCATTCGAAAGTAGATATACACGAACGTTCCTCTTTATACTATTGTATGTGCTACAATATGAGATGTTGTGGATGGAATTTTTACAGAATAGAGAAAAATGGCCAAAACTATAAAAAATAGAGAAAAATGTCCCAAAGAAAAAGAATAAAGAATAGTGAGGTGCAAAAATATAAAAAGAATAAGAGAATAATGAGGTGCTAAAATATAAAGACTGGAGAATAATGGGGTGTTAAAATATAAAGAATAGAGAATAATGAGGTGCTAAAATATAAAGAAAAGAGAATAATGAGGTGCTAAAATATAAAGAATAGAGAATAATGAGGTGCTAAAATATAAAGACTGGAGAATAATGGGGGGCTAAAATATAAAGACTGGAGAATAATGGGGGGCTAAAATATAAAGACTGGAGAATAATGGGGGGCTAAAATATAAAGACTGGAGAATAATGGGGGGCTAAAATATAAAGACTGGAGAATAATGGGGTGCTAAAATATAAAGAATAGAGAATAATGGGGTGCTAAAATATAAAGAATAGAGAATAATGCGGGGCTAAAATATAAAGAATAGAGAATAATGGTAAAAAAGTATAAAGAACAGAGAAATGGTCTAAAAATTAAAGAATACAGAAACGCCCACCCCATTACAGACCCTCTTACGATAGTCAGCTTATAAGTTGGTAAAGTTAATAACAAGTTGATAATAATATATGGTTGATAAAATAGGTGTTGCATTGATGAAACCTCAAAAGATGTCGTAAAATACAGGAAAACTACCGCCTGTGTTTCGGGAATCTATATTGATTTAATGAAGTTCATTATCTAATAAAAAAATATGTATTTCTACAGGATCACAAGGACCCAAAGGACAACGTGGAGACCAAGGAGCCCCAGGTAAATATTATATTTGATGGAAAAGGGATATGGATATATATATAGATTCGGACATTGGTGACAGTGGATTATCGGATTTATCCAAACGAGATATTTAACTATTGAGATTGAATAAATCCGATAATCCACGGGTAATTTTGTAAGAATCTGTTTCTCTAATGATTGTCAAATAATTTTCATTTTTGATTATCGAAAATCACCTTTTAGTGTCTTCCACATTCCACAAAGTTGTCAATTTCATTAACCACACGTTGATTAAACTTTTTTATGCAATGGGTTTGGAAAGGGTTGAATTGCCAAAGAATTAGGGAAAAATTTATATACTTCAGAAATGATTCTGACGATCATAGACCCCCAATGGCACGTAATACTTTGGTGATGCATACAAATTGAGTAAACAATAGTTTAAACTTAAGTGTGTATTCATTATTCTGCACATTTGTCATTATGGTTAAGCAATCAAGAATATCTCAATTCGTCTAACAGGTTGAATTTTAGAATAATATTCAACAGTGAAAGATGTGCACAGAATCTACGTACATGAATACAAAGGGAGGCAAACGAAACGAAGAAGCAGGAAAGAGCACAAGACTACCGGAGTTATCTTTCACTGAACAGTTGTCAAATCAAAGGGCTGTAATACGTACTGAATCAATATCAATAAGCTTGATACAGTTCTCTCCCTTTGACCCAGAAATAGCAATGTGTTGAACAAAGAACACCAACCCTTACATTTAAAAATTAATTATTTTCAAAAATAAAAAAAATTTCCTTGGTGTTTTTCGTAATGTACAGTTTTCAATTCAAAGGGCTGTAATACGTACTGTATCAATATCAATAAGCTTGATACAGTTCTCTCCCTTTGACGCAGAAATAGCAATGTGTTGAACAAAGAACACCAACCCTTGCATTTTAAATTTTTATAAAAAAAAATGTTTTGATTTCTTTCCTAGGTGTTATACGTATTGTTATTGATGACCAGAGAACAGGACCCGAAGTTGAAGAATTCCCTGGTAAGATTTTGTTTTAACAATACAGTTTCCTAGACTGCTTCTCTGTTTTACATTTTGTTAAAATTTGGAAACATACAAATGTGTCAGTCTTTCAAAGAACGGTAGTTAGGTGCTTTTAGTGCGAATAAAATGGCGAAAAGCGGAGTGAATGTAAAGATTAAAATGTAATATTATTATAGATATGAAAACGTATATGTAAGTTTAAATTGATTAATAATCAGGAAGTGCATAGACTATTATAATAAAATATCATTCATTTCCGTTTCCAAACGATTAAATTTTACATTTTCATTTGATCAGGATTTGGTGGATTCCCTGGATTCCCTGGATCCGCTGGAGCGGGTTCATCATCAGGAGCTAGTGCATTTGGAGGACCTGGCGGAGCCGGCGGTTTCCCATTCGGGCCATTCGGAGGAGCAGGAGGTCCCGGAGGTGGTCCAGGAGGACCAGGAAGTCCTGGAGGACCAGGAGGTCCCGGAGGACCAGGAGGTCCCGGAGGACCAGGAGGACCAGGAGGACCAGGAGGTCCCGGTGGATTAGTAGGAGGAGGAGCAGGAGGTCCCGGTGGATTAGGATTAGGAGGAGCAGGAGGTACCGGTGGATTAGGAGGAGGAGGAGCAGGAGGTCCCGGTGGATTCGGTGGAGGAGTAGGTCCTGGTGGATTAGGCGGATTTGGTGGATTAGGAGGTGGAGGACTAGGAGGAGGAGCTAGCGCCGGAGCATCATCGTCAGGATCGGCTTCTGCATCTGGTGGTGGACCATTCGGAGTACTCAATGTAGGACCAGGAGGTGGAGGAAGCTCTTCAGCATCTGCAGCGTCTAGAGCACACGCACTCGCTTTAGGAGGTCTCGGTGGTGGAAGTGCATCAGCAGGTAGTCATTCCTCATCTAGCGCACACTCATTCGGCGGACACTTATTCCACAGTGTGACCCACCATGGAGGTCCTTCACATGCTTCAGCACATGCAACCGCTCATGCCCATGCATCTGCAAGTGGAGGAGGAGGTCACGGAGGTCACGGAGGCCACGGAGGCCACGGAGGACCATATAAACCTGGATATTAACTTTAAATTGACTTCTTTGTAGTAAAATGAATGTTTATTGTAATATTAAAATCTGCAAGTCTTCGTAATTATAGTTCTCTTTTCAATTATAACACATGGAACATACGTCAAAAGATGTAATCAAACAAGCCAATTAACTAAATGACATCTAGAGGTCAAACAGTTTTCAACCATAAACATGTGTTTATATAAAATTTAGGCTTTAGACATGTCAGATCGTTCCAGAGTCTAAACACGTGATTCGTCCATCAAAACAAAATTCTCAAAATAACAAAAACATTGGGACATACTATCAGTAATGGAACTAGTTAAAGGTAAATGAAAGAAATAATAGAAAATTCAACACAAGAACAATATACAATAAAAAAAATAAAAAAAATAATCAGAGAATGCTAGCAATTACCGAATGTAAGTTAACAGTACTTAAACTGGTGTTTTAGCATCTTATCGTCATACACTCTAATATTGGTGGCTGTACTTTATAGAATTTTCACATATTAAAGGTCGTAAACAGGACAGAAAGACATAATCTTTAGGAAGCAGGATAAACAAAAGTGTTGCTTCAAACCAATTTTTTCAAGAATAAAAAAAATATGTATTCCCTATGAATATGCTGCAATTAATCAAATGATTGATTTAATGAGAATAGGACATAAACATATTGTACGTTTGCAATTTATAAATGTCCAATAACTTTAAATATCTATTTTTGTCAAGATTTGAAGCACATTGAACTGTAAATAAATAATAAGACCCCCTCCCCCCCCCCCCCCCCACACACACACAAAACAAACAAAACAAAACAAAACAAAAAACCATAATGGAAGAAGAACACCAACCACTTTTTACACAGAAATATAGACAAAAAGTCGTTTTCATCCTTACATATTGCTAAGTCTTTAGATTTTTAAGTTGTGTTTTGTAGTTTGATGTTTGTTTGTCTGTCTTTCTGCCATTTTTTGGTTTGTTTTGCCATGATATCGTTAATTAGTTTTCGACCTCTTGAGTTTGAATATCCTGTTAGTTTCATCCGTCTCTCTTTTACATATAATAACACATGAAGTGGACTAATACATATTACAAACACCTGATGAATATAGAAATAAAAGAGATGTGAATTGATTACCAATGAGACAATTATTTACAAAAATGTCAAAAGTTAGTCCGTTGTTAATTTATGTATGTCATTTTGCTTAGTTTTTTTTGTTACCTATTCTGACATCAGACTCGGACATCTTTTAAACTGAGTTTTACTGTGCGTATTGCTGTGTGTTTCTTTATTCTACATTGGCTAGAGGTATAGGGGCAGGGTTGATATCTCACAAAACATGTTTAACCCCGTCGCATTTTTGCGCCTCTCCCAAGTCAGGAGCTTCTGGCCTTTGCTAGTCTTGTGTTTTTTTTAATTTTAGTTCATTTGTATGTTTTGGAGTTTAGTATGACGTCTATTTTCACTGAACTAGTACACATTTTTATTTAGGGGCCAGCTGAGGCCCACCTCCGGGTGCGGGATTTTCTCGCTGCGTCGAAGACCCATTGGTGGCCTTCGGCTGTTATCTGCTCTTTGGTAGGGTTGTTGTCACTTTGACATATTCCTCATTTCCATTCTCAATTTTAATATAAACAGCTGAAATGTATATGAACAACTACAGGCCACCGTTTTCAATAATATACAAATATAAAAAATAAGAAGATGTGGTATGATTGCCAATGAGACTACTCTCTACAAGAGACCAAATGACACAGAAATTAACAAATATAGGTCACCGTACGGCCTTCAACAATGAGTGAAACCCATACAGCATAGTCAGCTATAAAAGGCCACGAAGTGAACACATATCTTAAAGCAAGCTATACAATACCCAAAGTGACGAAATGTGAAATAATACAACAGAGAAAATTGATTTAAGCTTGGAGGATAAAAGGAAAATCATTAGACATGTATACTAGCCTACGAATAAAGACACCTGTTTTAAGAAAGACAAAAAAAAAAAAAAAAAAAAAAAAGAAACAGAAGAATGCAGCGGAGTAAAACATGTTTGTGGTTCATCAACACTTTCCTAGCCTTTGACAGAGGACTTACAACACAAAATTACCATTTTAGCTGATTATCCTTTAGGAAAGACAAAAAAAAAGAATGCAGCGGTGTAACACATGTTTGTGGTTCCTCAACACTTTCTTAACTTTTGACAGAGGACTTACAACACAAAAGTACAATTTTAGCAGATTATTCTTTAGGAAAGACAAAAAAAAAGAAGAAGAAGAAAGAAATGCAGCGGAGTAAAACATGTTTGTGGTTGCTAAACACTTTTCTAACCTCTGACAGAGTACTTACAACACAACAGTACAATTTTAGCAGATTACCCTTTATGAAAGACAAGGAAAAAAAAGGATGCAGAGGAGTAAAACATTGTTTGTGGTTCCTCAACACTTTCCTAACCTTTGACAATGAACTTACAACACAACATTAGCACAATTTGTAAAACTGATTATAGATATAAGAAGATGTGGTATGAGTGCCAATGAAACAATTCTCCATCCAAGTCAAAATTTATAAAAGTAAACCATTATAGGTCACAGTACGGTCTTCAACACGGAGCCTTGGCTCACACCGAACAGTAAGCTATAAAGGGCCCCAAAAAATTACTAGTGTAAAACCATTCAAACGGGAAAACCAACGGTCTAATCTATATAAAAAACGAGAAACGAGAAACACTTATGAACCACATCAACAAACGACAACTACTGAACATCAGATTCCTGACTTAGGACAGGTGCAAACAAATGCAGCGGGTTTAAAATAGCATGCAACACCTGTGTTGGAAAATATCATCAATATTATTGGTTTATTTGGATTTCATTTATTCTGAGCCGCTTCTGTGGTCTATTGGACCCAAGGATACATTTGTTAAGAAAACAAAAGATTCGATAAAAAGTTTTCATTTATCTATTTTGTTAACGTTTCATTTTACAAATTGTATAATTGAACTAAAAAATGCAATATCTTCCGTAATCTGGACCTAAAATTCCGATTGGTCTATTTGTACGCTTTGATTTTGGTGCTCTCAACATTTTATGTCTATATAAAATAAGAATATGTGGTATAGGTGTAATACCACCAAATCATAGTACGTCACATCCGGTTGCATACGAAAATAGGTCGAAAAAAATATTTCCTTGAATTTGACAGTTGTAGGTAATTGATCCTACATTTCATTGCAGTAAAACATTTCTGGGTCATAAACATATCTTGGGTATTTCAAAGCACCATTATTTTTTATTTGGGGTTTCTAAAGAATATTTTGGAAACTTGAGGTTATATGGTTACTAAAGCTTGTACATAGGTTAAAAAGGGGAACATTTGATTGGTTAACTTTCAGTGATGGTTATTTTCTTATATGCAATGAAATGTTATGTGAAATTTTTTCTATAGTACTGGACAGGATAAAACTTTACTCATGCCAAGTATTTCTTCATTTGAAACAAAGATAAATTCTGCACAATTTTTTTGAAAAGTGCAAATTTAACAAAGACTAATAGGGGAAAATCAATGGTGGTATTACACCTATAATTGCCAATGAGACATCTCTCCACAAGAGACAAAATGACATAGAAGTTAACGACTATAGGTCACCGTACGGCCTTCATAAATGAGCAAAACCCATACCGCTTAGTCGGCTATTAATATAAAAAGGCCCCAAAAGGACAAATGTAAAACAATTCAAACGAGAAAACTAGTATCATGGTTATTATATTTCAAATATCAACGTAACTGACGAAAGTTTTTTTGCTAACTAATCTACTTCCATTTCTTGAGATAGGAACCTCTGATCCGCTGTCTATTGTTGAAGAATGCATGTAACCCCTTATAGATTTTGTTGTTGTTGGGTTGCTGTCTCATTGATAAATGCCTACCTCTCCCATTATCCATATTAATATGAAAGAAATTAGACAAAATAGATCGAGTGGAACAACGTCTTCCACAAAAAATATTGCTGTCCATATAATGTGTTGTCCGTGTTGTCTTTTTGGTGGAGGGAGTCGGAGTGCCAGGAGAGAACCACCCTTCGGTAGGAAAACTGACAATCCTAGTCAATTAAGATTGGAGTCGAACGCACCTACCACGTGCAGTACATATCTTATAAAAAGTCTATTTAGATATTATAGTTTAACTATCATCAGACCTGACGGAGGATTTTATCCAGAAACATTGCTTTCCTCCATGTCATATGAACTCTTGTGGATAATTGGCAATCATATTACTACTTCTAATTTCCTTAAAACGTGTACAGAACTCAGACGCATGCGTTTATGTCAATATTGCGCCATGGTATGGTTGCAGAGTAAATTCTAGCCGTAATAATTTTCTGTTATCTCTGATTCAAAAAATATAGCGTTTTGATAATGATTAAAATTCTGCTAAAAAGGGAAGGATTCTGCTTATAATGAATATCTTTAATTTTAACATGTACTAAATGTTAAAAAGGGATTTTGTTTAACTTACACGTTACCTACATTTTCGTTTATATAAAAACTAAAAACACTTGACACAAAAATTGAAACGTTAGGTCGCCAAAAACGAAATAAGCAAGAACTAATGTTTTCTATTTAACAAATAAGAATCATCTAATTGATATGAATATGTTCAATAGGAAACCTTCATTATTCATTTAATTGAACGCAATCTTTTATGTATAACTTGACTTTTGTTATTTTTGTTTGTTGTTTTTATTGTGCTTCGTACTCATCTGATGAATCAAACCCTTTCCAACTGATTTTTTTACAATTTTTTACTTATATTGTGCTACATGTATAATACCACTGTCAAAGATTAAGGAAAGTACGTGTTGAGCGCTACAAAGTAAACATGTTAATCTAGCCACATTTTGGGTGTGCTTGTCCGACGAAAGTAGTCTGTAATTCAGTATATGTCATTGGTTGCTTTCGGCTATACCTGTTTGCCGCTTATTGTTTTCATCATAAATCCTACCGTCAGTTTTAATGAGGGTGTGGATGGGGGTTTACAGAATAGAGAATAATGGGCAAAAGATATAAAGAATAGAGAAAA